CTTTTCTATTCCCGGGTACCATATTTCAGGGTTTACTTACGTAGATTACCAAAAAGCTTTCCTTCATATCCTTTACCTACGTACCTATGACCATTCATGGTTTATCTCTTTTGACTTTCACTGACCCAAATCAATACCCGGATGGTTCTATGAATGGTGGCACTGGTTTGGACCATATGACCAAATTTATCCTCCACAACTACTCAAAGTATCCATACCCTACTACACTAAACACGAAAAACATGAACCCATTGGACCTTTACCAAAAATATCCTTCCACATTGGACATGGGAGTACCTTGGATCCTATCATGGTACTTTAACCTCATACCTTTTCTACCTGACATGCCGTACTCTTTAGTCCGGGAATACCGAGTCAAATGGTGGGACAAATACAACTTGGATCGCTGTTCTGTCACCAACCTAGAAAAATGGATACAAACCCACGAGCAAATCAAGCAATCCGTGACAACAATATCCCGAGCACTACCACCTATCAACACCAACGCTCAGAAAATAAAACCAACCAGCCCAACAGAGTCAACAACATCATCCTCTGGATCCAAGAAAACCAAGGGAAAAGATAAACTCAAAAAAATCCTCGAAGCCATCGCAATGCAAATTTCTTCTTCCGAAGACGAAGATGACACTACACCCAAGGCTACACAAGACGACAACCCATATGGCGGTCAATTATCTCAAGATCCTTTCGAAAATTAAATTTATATCATTCCCGAAAAAAAAAAATTGTTGCTAAAGATATGTAAAATAAGTATTTACAAATCTATATATCCTAATATGAAAAAATATATGAAAAATTGTTTATCCTGATATGTAAAAATATATGTCAAAAGTATGTAATAATAATAATAATAATAATAATAAAAATATGTGGCTAAAGATATAAATATTACAATATGTATATAATCTTGCAGCACAACAGCACAATCAAGACAACGAAGAAAACAAGACTACCAATGAAGACAAAATCAGCAATCAGAAGAAAACGACAATATCATCAATTATGCCAACATCAAGACTCGTCAAAAGCTAGGGAAATAAAAAACAAAAGGATTCAGACTATTGAAGACCTTGGAGACAAGAGACAAAAACATCAAGATTACTCAGCAACTTCAAATCAAGACACATCATCTCTTATTATAATGAAGACACATCAACAACTTCAAATCAAGACACATCATCCCTTATTATAATGAAGACACAACAACCTATACTTCCATCAACCTTTTAGTATAAATAGGGAAGAGAGTTGTGAGAGAGAGGGCAGAGTGTTTTCAGTGAGAGAACATTGTAAAAGCTTCCCATCTACTCTCTTTGTATTTTCTTCCGTGAACTTTTAAATTTTTGTTTTCTTTGTACTACCTACCAAGTTTAATAAAGTAAGTTTTAAACATACAACTTTCTTTACCATAGTTCTTAAAATTTATATCTTTTTAAAATTTATATCTTTATACATAAAATATAAAGTATACAAAGATATAACTTGAGACAAATTTCAATAGTATTTTTCCATCAGTTTGTTCAGTTAATGGTGTAGCTACTACTTATCTTTGGGGTGTATGAAGTTTTAAAAAGATTTTTTTTTCAAATAATATATAACGATAAATTCTACACTCTTCACCAATATTGGCAAATGATTTAGCTAGCTAAACTATCAAACAAATATTATATCAATTATCAAAGAACTCATATAATAAAGAAGTTTATTATTAATTGCCATTTGTTTTCTTCGTTGAATATATGAACTAATTATAAAACATCTATGTACACATTGAATCCTTATAAAATTGATAAATAGAGAAGTGCATACAATATGAAAATTAAAAACAAAATCCCAAGGTACAATATGAAACAAAATGGAGTAAGGATTTAGTTTTTCTTTTTAAAAGCATTAAGCGAAAGATAAGCTTATGCAAAAAGTTTTTGAAAGTATAAAAAAAATACTCATGGTGTTTCTCTAAAAAAATAGTATTATAACATAAGATGTCCAAATTTAGACAATAGATTTCTAATATAATATATAGTACATGTGGATACTATTTACATAAACAAAAAATATACATCAAATTATTATACAAAAAGATCAAACTTTACCCTTCATATCTGCAAAAACATGCATTAACTCTTAAAAAAAGTTTAACTAAGACAAAAGATACACTAATCTACCTTCAAATTATTATACAAATCATATATATATATATATATATTCTTCTGATATTTACTACTCTATAATTTATCACAATATTAAATACAAAATTAATTGACAACCTTTTTATAAAACTACAATATAATTATATAATCTACGCATAGCGTGGGCAAAACACTAGTATATATAATGAGCAAGTTATCTTTCCATATAAGGTGTCCACATCAGCATAATTTTTATTTCAAAATGGCCTCCTAAATATTTTGGGTTTTGTTTATAAGTTTTTATATAATGGGTAATTATTTTTGGGCTTCTAATATGATAAATTTCAAATTAAAAACAAATATTTATTTTACAAGTCATAAAAATTACAAACTTATGTTCTTTGTTTATGAAAAATAATTTGCAAAGTAAACACATACAAAAGCTGATTGAATATATTACAGAAATAATTCTCAAAATGTTTTATAAAAAAACCGTAGAAAGATTTATGTATAAAACTAAAGTAAAATAATTCATATGAAATAAATACTTATTTTACAAATCATAAAAACATAAATTTTCTATAAAATAAAATTCAAAATTTTATTTTGAATATAAATAAATAGAATATGAAAAGAGTTATTTTAAGTATAAATAAATAGAGTATGAAAAAGAGTTGGAAGTTAAACAATTACGAAAGATGACATAAAAACTTGCACAGAATGGTTATCAAAGTTTTTTTTTAAATTCTCAAAAAGATTAATGCATAAAAGAAGTAAAATCATTCATATCTACTTTACCGTGTAAAATGAATATTTTTTTCTATAAATAAAAAACTAAAATGTTTAATTATATAGTATAGAAATAAGTTTGATTTATACAAAGGCGCAAATACTTATCAACCATTATCAACGATGGCAATATAAAGTTGATATTCGATAAGTTTACTCAACAGTCGGATAATTTATGAATTTTAATATTAAGTATATAAATAAACTAAAACAAGATTATTGATTATATTTTCTAACAAAATCAAGTTCTTTACCTTCACATGACATGAAAAGAAACAAAAATATTTTCACACATATTCATAAATAGAGTCAGGTAGTTCATCATCGTCAGATGGATGAACACATTGGAGTTGTTTTCCGAAAAAGACAAATGTTTGAAATCAATTAAAATCAAAAGTTTCTCAAGTAAGCATAATTGAATGAGACGAAAGCTTGCATGAAATAAAAGAAAATATCAGTGATTGTAATTAGAATAATATGACTAAGAGCATAAGGAAAGGGAAAAATAAAATGAATGATTATTTGTGCTTGAAAATGAGTTAGATTTTTTAAAAATCCGATAAAAAAAAATTAAGAGATCATTTAGTTTAGACTGGAGAAGGATCGATAATGATTTCACTTTATCTGTAAAAATAAACTGTGAAAAAAAATCAAAACCCAATTTAATACAGTTACACAGTTAGGACACATATAATATTTATTGCAGTATATAAATATACAAGAGACTTTTTAATAATTAATATAATACATCATAATCTATATTGGAAGAAGAAATTTACAATTTAAATATACATATTTTAGACAAAGAAAAAGACAACATGAAAATATAAAATAAACATATACATCATAATAATATGAATATAAAAATATTAAAATTAAATTAATAGATAAGTTTGCATAATACGCTGGTCAAAACATCAAAATTTATCAACAATGTTATCGATAAAAAAAACAAAATGCATACACTCCGATGAAAAAAATATAAACCTAAACGACTTTAAATTATACATAAAAGAGACAATAAATTGAATCTCACTATAACATTAGTTTATAAGTTAAAAAAAATATTTATTCTATAAATCACAAAACTACAAATTCTCTACTAAATAAAAATCTACTTCGAATAAAAAATAAAAAGAGAGTATGTGATTGATTGTGAAATCATCTTACTGATCTTGCTGGAAATAAATCATATAAATAAGTTAATTAAATAAAAAATATTTAATTTGAAGACATAGATACTTACGATAGTATATAACTATAAAAAAAGTTTTTTAAAATATTTAACATATTAGAGAAAATATTTCACAATAAGTTTACATATTTACGATAATTAAAAACTGAAACAATATATAAAATCAAATAAAAAATATAATAATTATTTGAATTAAAATAAAAACTAAATCTGTGCAACGCACGAGGTAATTTCTAGTGATATTTAATAAAACAAAAAAACCGTTGAAATTGAGTAGATTACTAATAGTTTCAGAAAAGAAAACAATGGAAATGGGATACAAATTTAAACATGAATGTTCTAACTTTTGAATTTCTCAATGAAAAAAAATAAATAAAAACTTCTCAACTTATGAGATCGTACGTACTGTTTGGTATTATTAATCAATAACAAATAACAATAGTTTAGCTCATTTTTCTCAATGAAAAAAAGAATAGAAACTTCTCAACGTGTGAGATCGTAGTGTTTTGGCTTGGTTTTGGATTATATTATTGTTATTTTCGCCAACTTAAATAGTACTTTATCGATTACGTACGCTGGTGGAGACCAATCGATCAATCTCCGGCTTAGTTTTGGATTTAAAGCTAATAATAGTCTACGTAATTTTAATTATTTTTTTATTGTTATAAATAATTTACCTCATTTTTCAGAAGTGAATTCGACTCACCATGTTAATGAACATTTTTTTTCATCTTTTTATATCAACCAACAACAATAAATTGGTTAAGATGGGACAAGGCAATTAATTTCGCAACCAGCGAGTGATTAGTGTGTGTGCATAAATACACAAACTCTCTTGGAATCAATCCATGATGTAAACCAAATATGGAAGATTCGATCATCCTGGAAATGAGGTCATAGCTCGATGGCTTAGCCAATGGGAGAGGCCATAGCCAACTAGAAGAGCTAATCCTGAGTGGTCTCAAAATAATCCATTTGGAGAAAGGGATTTTACGATGTAAACTTGTCATCACCGAACGTGTATCGGTAATTATTCCTTCATCGTTGTCTTTGCTTTTCTTTTGATAAGTTAATATCCTAATATTAATTTTACGAAAACTTATTTTCATTTCTAGATGTATATGTAGAAAATGTTTTTCATGATGATCATTCAACATCTTTCCATTTTTAAAAAATGAAGAAAAACTAATAAAGAAACTTATTTTTTCTAATAATATAAATTTTACCAAATCTGATCATATTTATGTTGGGTTGTTTGTTTGTATTCTGATTTATCTGTGTCTGATACATTTTATACTTATTTTGATTTCTTTTTATTTATTTATTTATAATAGTTACTAACATTTTGAAATTATGGCTAGAGACAAGATGGGGTTTGGGACACCGGAGCAATTGTGGGTGTGATGGACGTAATCAGCTTTGCAACTATGTACTCGCTTGGTGGCAAAGTCCATGTCACTATTCATTTAAACTCTTCGTTTTATTCGACGGTCAAAATTCATGTTAGTTTTTACTTGAGTTATGTTTTTATGAATTTTTTTAAAAAATTACCACTTTTGTATAAGTTCTTATAAGATTATATATATATATATATATAATAGTTAATAATATGTAGAAAATGTTGATTTTTTTATGAAAAACATATTTTGTTTACTGATTTATACAAACTTATTCTGTTTTAAATTAAAGGGTTTAAAATTAGTTTATCAATTTTTTTGGACGAATATTATAAAATTTCATGAGTGGTTATAAAAACAATAAATTAATTTATAAGCTTTTTACAAAAACATTAGAGGTACTTTTGAAAAGTATTTATATCCCAAAAAAATACTTTTCAAAATTTTCTAATTTTATAATGATAGACTTAATTGATAAACAACCAGATTTTATAGCAAATTTAGAGTGGTGATGGTTTGACGGATAAAATTATATAATTTTAGAAGGATTCAAACATTTGATGATTAATCAGGTGCTACGTGATCCGTGATTATCATTTTATTACATCTATTTGTATGTTGAAATACTTTTCAAAATATGGTGAAGTTTTTTGTAATATTGTTGATAAATAAAATGCAGGAAACAGTAGAGATCGAAGGAAGATTGACAGGGACCAAAGGAAACATAAAAGCAGTGATGGTTAAAATTAGAAGAGAAGGGAATAGAGAAGTTATAGCCAGAGGAAGCTTATGGATGGCTCCACTTGCCCTCGGCCTCAAAGACTTGACCCCACTCCACAAATCAAGCCTTTAATAATATTCATGTAATTATATGCATAGTTTACTAATTCAAAGCAATGTATTGAATGTATTTCATTTTCAACACTCAGCTTGAAGGCATTTAGAGCTATTGTTGTTTGCTCGTCTTTAATGGCAGAAAAAAAGTCATTTTGATCTTCTCAGAAGCTCATTTGAAAAATTTTTCAGTTTTTATCTATGATTTAAACTGTTTAATCTATTCTTTTAATGTTTTTCTATTTGTTTTTTTTTGTGTGCAAATGTTTTGCTTTTTGTATATGTATCAAATGATCTATACTTTTTTTTTGTAGTTCTAAACTATGTCTCTGAAGGGAAGAAAAGGTAAAAAAAATATATACTTTTTGGTATATAATCGTTTGAAGAAGAAGCTTGCATAAACATTTAACTTTATGAGAGTGGAGGCTGTCCTGACCCAAGTGACGATAGTAAGGAAATCCGAAGGCTTAGAGAATTTGAAGCTAATTTTTGTTACCAAATTTCTAATCAATATATAATATATGAGAATTTCAAGCTCATAGAATACTATTAAAAAGTTTAAATAAATTCATAGAGTACCTTGATGCAATCTTTTTCATCTCTTATTTAATGAGCATCTTATTCCATCAGAAAAATTTTCATTCTGTTCTAATCAAAATAAAAATAAATAAAATAAAATTCAATACTTATAAAGCACAAGTCAGTTGGCAATCGTCAGTCTGACATGTGTTTATTTTATTTTTAAATCAATTTTTATTTTTACTTTTTTTATAAAAAAACATTGTTTCATTTATTAAAATAATTTTTTTTAAAAAAATAAAACTTAGACTTCTTTCTAAATTAACTATCCACTATCTCAAATTTAACTTCCCACATTCTAACATATGAAACTTAATTACCTACTGTTTTTCTAATTGTTTATGTGAGTATATGTATATCTATTATTTTTAAGAGAACATTATTTTCTGTTTTATATAATACAGAAATCTATTTTTGCAATTCTTTTTGTTATGATAGAGTGGAACTATGAAAATATTAGCTTGAGCATATGTAATTCGCTTGAATGAGTGGTGTTGACCTAATTATGCTTTAATCATTAGATTCTTTACAAAGATGACATAGAAATACAATCAGATCAAATGTATGAAAAAGTCAGATGACAAAGAAAAAAACATGTTCAGTATCTAAGTTATATGGAGAAGGTAAAATTATATGGTATTCCTTTTATTTTACAATTTTCATATAAAACATTATTAGATTTTAATTTTTAAATGATTCAAAACTTTAAAATTTTTACTGACTATGTAAATGTAAAAGATTCAATAGTGTTTAAAGAAATATTTTTTTTATCATCAACTGAATTTTCATAGAAAGATATAAATTCAGTTCAAATAATATCATCAAAGAAAATTATAGTATTAAATACTTAGTAACTTAATAAGTTGCAACATATAAACTCAAGCTCGGACATCAAACAGCAACTTTTGTATATATCATAGGCTTTTAATTTGATACAATATCGTATATATATATATATATATATATATATATATTATATATGTACAAAATAATGCTGGAAAAGTGGAAAGCATAAATAAAACAAAGAAAAACAACAAACATTATATACAAAGAAGACTCCATCAATTGCAGTAACACCATAAATACAAAACAAAAACTTGGCATGTAAATAAATTACATAGCCAAAAATCATAAACCTTTTTTTAATCCAAAACCCTAAAACGCAAAACACATAATTTAATCTAATTACAGAACTGTATAGATCCATAATGCTGAGTAACAACACGCACACCAAATGCAATAAATACCCATTCCTATAGTTTCGCTCCCTTTATAGACATCGTACAATCTTGCAAGATCTTTGATTCCTTAATTCTTTTTAACAACTTCACTTAGATCTTCTTTCTCGAAGCCTTTCCCAACAATGTCAAGCAACTCCTCTTCCTCTCTCACACCATTAACCCTACCGTTCCTCATCTGGTCGACCAACGGACCATACGACCAGCTACATATCACGTAATAGATCACGTTGATGAAGCTCATGATGGCGAGTAGCCAATAGTAATAGTTGTAATGACCCTTGTTTATGTTGTCTGAAACCCAACTCTCTTTACCATTTCTTGAGGTTAGATGATTCACCGCACTGAGGATCACGCTTGCCAGTAGACTCGCCACAGCCATTCCTAGACCGAACAGTGATGCTGCGATGCTAGACATGCTTTTAGGAAACTCGGTGTAGAAAAACTCGGTCTGTCCTATTGCGGTAAGAGCCTCTGCTAATCCATGTAGCACATATTGTGGCACGAGCCACATCGCTGAGATGTCAACAACAGCAACGGCATTGTTTGCATACCCTTGGCTTAAAGCTTTTTTCCTTCTGAAGCTTTCGACCATTGCGGAAATCGCCATTGCTAAGAATGACATGAATAATCCTAATCCCATTCTTAGCTTAACGCTGAGTCTAAAAGGTCTGCCTCGGATCTTTGAAACTAATGGGATGACGGCACGGTCATATAGAACGACCCACATGGCTAGAGCTATGATTGTGAACATACCGAATGATCCTGCTGGAATTTGAAAGCTTGAACCATGGCGGCTCAGACGCCTGTCCATGGACGTCGCTTGCAGCAACTGAAACGAGCTTTGGCCAGTGTTTATGGACATCATTATACCCGTGGACCATATCGGTATGACTTTAATTAATGCCTTAAGCTCTTCTACTTTGTCTGTTGTGCATAGCCTCCATGGATTCAAAGCAAACCCGTCTGACCCAATCTCCTCCTCGCGGTTACTTATCAAACAAGCTTTGTTCAGAAACCTAATCAAGAGAGAATCAAAAGTAAGAAGAATGCTTCATGTTTTATGTATAACAAACTTTATTCAAAAACTTAATCAAGAGAGCATCAAAGTAAAACAAAAACGCTTCATGTTTTATGTATAACAAGCTTTATTCGAAAACTTAATCAAGAGAGCATCAAAGTAAAACAAAAACGCATCAGTGTTGCAAGAGAGTCGTATCTAAGTAAAGAGAGGGTAATATGTTTCTAGTTGCTCAAAACCTAATTGAGAGCATCAAAAGTTAATAGAGTGTGTTGATCATGTTTCTTGTATAACAAGCTTTCTTTTAAACCTAATCACGAGGATATCAAAATTGAAGAGATCGAACATTCATGCTTATTGCATTACATACTTTCTTTAAAAGCATAATCAAGAGGGTAAAGACAAGAACTCAAGAGACTGGGAGAAGTATGCACATATAGTAGGTTTACCTCAACTTGCGACTTGGAGCTTTGAGATCAGAATCTTTCACGTGATAATAAGAATTAAATGAGTCATGCTGATCTGGTAGACTTAACTTCCTGTTCACGTAAGCTGCAACAACAACTTGAGCTAAACCGGTGAAGAGGCTCTTGGTCACATTGCGTCGAACATAGAGAGGATATGCGAGAAGGAACAGCAAACCAGCGGTCAACATGAGAACCGCTGGTACACCAAATCCGATTTTCCATCCGAGATGCTCTTGAATGTAAACAATGCCTGTGAACGCGATGAGCACAGCCACAGCTGAGGAAGCGTAATACCAACCAAAGAAACTTTCAAGAACTCTTTCGTTCTTCGGGTTCTCTTTGTTGTCTAACTGATCAGCCCCAAAGGCTAAGGAACACGGTCTGATCCCGCCTGCACCGATCGATATTAGGGCAAATGCGGAATACAAAAGAGCCAGCTGAGACGCGGTTGCGGATCCACAGTGACTGCCAACCGCTGTGGGATCGCAAGGCGATGGTTTCACTTGTGGTAACATTGCGGTTAGCCATAGAAGCACCATTCCCTGTGATATGGTTCAAAAGTTGTAATTGGTTAGTTGGTTTCGGTTTCAAAAAATCGCGTTTAATTTCAACGAAACGCTAGCAAAACATTCTGAAGTAGAGAACAAGAAGAAAAATCCAATATACATATCGGCAACAAAATCGTGGCCACGAGCACATATCGGTAGGTTGAATGTAAAGTCATAAGTCATTAACCCTACCAAAATTAAAATAAAAACGTTGATAGGGATTGAATAATTGTACCAACATGTCAAATCAAACGATGTAACGAAATTTAAACATTAGATAACAAGTGGATGAATAAAATAAGTGTCGACTTTATCCAAGAATCGGACGAGTTGTACAAAAGTATGGACACGATTGAAAATTGCCTAAGCCAAATAACCTCTATATGTCGTCTATAGTGTATAGCCTTGTAGCTTATAAACAAAAGCAAGATTGTCCCCCATAACAAACAAATAATTTAATGTCGTCATGTATAGTTAATTGAGTCGAATCCGGTTAACGGTACACAGGCTTAAATCGAACCAAAATCGTGCCAAAATTTTGGGTTCGAGAAAAAGCTTTTGCTTTTGTTTTTTGTTTTTCTTTTTTCCTTCCCTGTATAATAAACATGTATACAACATCCAAGATAATAGAAAAAAAAAAGAACATATTAAAATATTTTTCTAAAAAAAACATTTAGTTAGAGATATATTTTATTTCGAAAATAATATTAATCATTTTTATATAAAAAATATTAATAATCAAAACCGGGACCTAATATTAGACAGAACTCATATATTATATACATGCATACACCTTTTTAAAAATGTTATCTATTTTTGTATATAATATTTGTGTAACTTCTTTTTCTTTATTTATGATGCAATCACACACCTTTTTTAAGATCTGCATCAATAGAATATTGTCACATCTGAAATTATGGGTTCGCATTGTGGTCACTCATGAGTCACTCACACCACTTGTGAGGGACATTTTAAATTGGCAATTATTGTAAAAAAAAACTGAAATTTCAAACACATGGAATTGGCACCTAAGAAACTACTCTGAAAACGACATTTTCAGTGTAACAAAAACTTCTTTTTTGGTCAAAGAAGTGTAAGAAAAACAAAAGAAAACAATAACGCAGCAATGTTTTCCATAGGACGAGTCCTAATGTCTCACAAGTCACATGCAAAGTGTGAAAGTTCTAAAACCGTACAATATTATTATTACCATATAGTATTTTAGTAAAATATTAAATAGCATGACGTTATTAACCACCTAGTATAATGGTACAGCAACGATGGATATGTCGGATATTATATTAAGTTATTAACCCACTCCAATATTACAATAAATTCAAATATTCGATATCTTTTAATATAAAATTATAGCCTGAAAATAAAACCTCGTACCACACTATCCTTCATTAAATTTTTTAATATTGTAAAAAAGATCTTAAATTTATTGGATAATAAAAAAGAGTTTTTATATAACGGAAAAAGTAAATGGTAAGAACTTTTTAAAAGAGTTGTCTGTTTTTCGAAATCAGTTACGGATTCTATCAGTCTTATCTAATGATTATTAGTTAATTACTTGTTCAAAAAATATACTCGTGATAAGTAGTACTTACTGTAGTAGTAGTAAACAAGTTACCAAAATTCACATACCGGTTCAAAAACCGAGTCAGACCGTTTAGAATTTAACGCACCAAACCATTCCAAAATCCAAAGACAAATCAGTTACATCAGAGTGCAAGAAACCGATTTGTTAAGAAAAACCGGTTTTAGTGAATCTTGGTAGGCGAAGAATTGAAGAGGAGAGAGAAGAAAAATTACCAAGAAACTGGAGAGAGAAGCAATGGCGATGGTGAGAAATCGACCTAAATAGGAATCAGAGAGAAAAGCACCCAAGAGTGGAGTGAAGTATGTTGCAGCAGACCACATGAAAAGCACATTTGTTCCTTTTGCTACTCCAAATCTGTAATCTCTAATTAGATACATAATCATGTTTGGTAACAATCCATAGCTCGCCACTTTCTCGAACGCCTCGTTTGCTTCACCATAACAGTTAAACAACAACAACAATTAGGTATCTCTATGATGAATGAGAGAGCAGTTACGTTTTCAGAAGTGGATTTGTAAAAAATGTTAAAGTAAATGTAATACCTATGATGAAGGGCATAGTGATGATTCCACCCTTTGGTTTTTTTGCTCCATTGAGTTGGATTTGGTTAGCCTCTGTTTCATTAGGAGGATTCTCCATTGTTTCAATTTTGATTGGTGGATTAATACTATAATCTGGTGAGTATATATAGGAGACAGACAGAGAAAGGTAAAAGGAAGAAGAAGAAGAGGAAGATCTTTGTCTTTGCGAGTGGTTTGAGAGTTAATACGATTTTGCTTTCAGACAGAGGAATCTCTGTTTCATTTTCACGGCGAGTGGGCAATTAATAGTAAATTATAGGGGACAAAGGGGAAAAAATGTTTAGTGAAAAAAATATATAAAAAGGGCATTTTAAATTTATTTGGTGTCATGAGAATCTGAAAATTACTAACATTGATTTAAATAGAAAAAAAAACTAGATATTTTACTTTATATTGGTTTTTGTTAGCTATTTGGATAAAATTTTCTATTGTTACTGGTAATTATTAATTTTAATTGTATGTAAAATATATAAATTTAGTATAAATGTTCCCACCAAGTTATGTCACGATTTTTATATTTGAAAAAACACATCATTTTAGTACAATGAATTAGTACGGCTAAACTGGTGAAATTTGTTAAAAAAACAAAAGGAGGAATTGATATTTAAATAGAGCTCCTACGTTAATAGTTTAATTTTAAAAGTCATTTAAGTAATTAATTGATAGTGTCCCTAGGCTAGAGGTGGAGAAGGATTATGGTGGTTGGTTTCGTACGGGCAGGGATCAGAGACTCTCATTCGTTATCATTCCTAACATATTTGTGCTACGGCTTTATATCTAAAGACTCGTTAGTCAAAATTACTCATATGCACTGTAAAGCAAATTATCTAGCGGATGATTTAGCTAATTATATTTTTTTGTTGCCTTTAGGTTTTCATTTATTCGATTATGTATCCGAAAATGTTGCATCTATCTTGTTAGAGAATGTAAATGGGATGTCACGAATTAGACATGTACGCACTTAATTTGTTTCTTGAGTAATAAAGAGTATGAGACTTTTGTCTCCGGCAACATACCAAAAAAAGTAATTAATTGATAGTAATAGTAATTTTTTTTTTAAAAGTGAAATAGTAATTTTAAAAGTCAATTTATAACTTGTTATATTAGGCTATTAACTAATTAAAACATACAATTATCTTTCATTCCTCAAGGTTGTATTCAGTTATTCTTTTACTATTTATAGTTATTTAACGAGAATCATTTTTAGTTACTCGCGTTAGTTAGTTAGCTAATCAGTCAGTCAATTCTGTAAAAAAAATTATTTTTTATTTAGTATGGATTATTGATTGAATAATTTTAATAAATTTAAAACAATCATTCAAATTCAATGTTATTGGTTATACAATTTCAAATTTTATATTCAAATTTTTTGTTATTAGTTTTATGATCTTAAATTATGGATTTGATTTTACAGTAAATTTAAGTAGATTTGGAAAGATTTTTATATTAAACATAAAAAGACGTAAATCTAAAACCAAACCTATGAATTTACAATTACTAATCAAAAATCAACATATTAGATTTGGAAATCAATAAATTTTACAAAGATTTGTAAATGCTATATAAAATTCTAAATCAACTAAATATATAAACCAATAACACTGTCTTGTACTCTAAACTAGCTAATCAGATTTAATAAAATAAAAATCACCATTTAATTTTTCTGCATTCCATAAATCATACTCTCTCAGTTTCATAATAAGTATCATTTGGAGAAAATATATCTGCATTGTAACTGGATGTATATGGATGTGTTTTGAATTTAATACATCCAAATACATTGCAGATACATTTTCTCTAAATGACACTTATTATAAAACATATGGAGTATTTTTTAGTAAATTTTTTGTTACCACTTGAATCCATAGTATATATTTATACAACAGATTTTTTATTAAAAAATACAATGTGCGCATCCCAAAAAATAAATGAAACTGATCATGGATGCTCACTACTTTCATGCCGATTAAACGGTGATCCAGATATTGATAGTCTAAAACAAACAAAAAAGTTTTAGAGCTGCATACTTTTATATTTAAAAATACAGTATAAGTAAACATCTAAATTTCTTCATCCCTTATACAATAAACGAAGTAGATAGCTTTCACATCCGATTAATGAAAGGGAATGGAACAAAATCATAACAAAAGTATCGAAATAATTGAGCAAGCCAAAACATCCCATGAGGTTACCAGCTTTTCTTTTTTCGCTGTCTCTCATTTCTTTTTCTCTTTTTTTTTCCCCGTTTAGACTTTTCTCTTAATTTTTTTTATTCTTTATCATTTAAAGATATAAAGGACTCATCTCATTAAAGTTAGTGCAATCATATTAAAAAGCTTTTGTTCCGGTTTCGACCCATCAGTCATAACTCATAACTTCATAAGTCAAGTACGCTGCCAGAAAACCATAATAGGCTCATACATTGTTGAGATTTTAGTTCAATAATTTATCCTTACCCAATGTCGATTTACTATTTGTTTTTTCTTCGTAGAAAAAAGAGACTTACATTAACATAAACCTAGTTGTACAATAATGCAATTCATTAAAAAATATTGTGAATAAAAAAGTGACAATGATGCGAGTGAATGTGAGAGTCTTAAAAGAAAATATTTATTGCGACTTTATTCATTCCCCTTGCACGTGGGTGTCGGATACTCTGAAAGCTCTTTTTCTTTTGGATATACTGTGCAAGTCGTAAGTCTATTGATAAGTTATTCTGATCTTAATAATATAAAGATTTTGTAATCATATTTGCGCATTTCCTGTAGTATTAGTTTGAGTTATTTACCACTTCAACGTTTATTTATGACAACTTCAGTTTATTTTCTCCAAATACCTTATTGAAAGGAAAAGAAATGAAGAAAACCATTTTCACCAAAAAGAGATGATAAAAGAAAAGTGTGAACAGGCGCCAAAAGTAACTCATCTACAAGCTCATATAGCTCAACCTAATTTAATTTAGATTGTGCCATTTTTATAGATATATTAAAATGTCTTAGCCTAAGTTAGCAGGCGGTAAATATGAAGTGATTGGAAAAAAAATCATTACATACTAAAGAAACATGTTGTTAAATTAAAGTAAGCCAAATTTGAACGAAACTATAATAAACTTTCGGTTAAGACTTTATATAGTATTTTCTTAAACCAAAACAAAATGAATTAGATACTCAACTGGACACTTTTCCTTTTTCGTGGATCGATCGATCGTGGGAAGACTGTAGAATATAAAATTTGAATACATTTTTATTGAAAGATTGCTTGAATTGCACGTTAACCAGAATTTCATTGCTTGTTTCAACAAACAAATAATAATGAAAACTGTGTCAGAGTTCATCAGACTCATATTTTCTCCATTGTTTTACTCAAAAAATAGTTTTTTGTCTGTCTCAGTTCTTTCTGACTCAATTTTCACCCACTCTCCTGCAAACATTTTTGAAAGATTTAATGCTTTCTCTTTATTTTTATTTTTTCATTTTGCCCAATCACTTGACACTTTCTCCTTTTACACACAATAATTAGCTTATGTCTTCTTCCTCTTTTGTGTTCATGCGTCTTTGTGTGGTGGTGATACATTCTAATATCATGGCCTTAACTGGTAATTTTCAGACTATATCGCATATGACGACTACGTCATTATATAGTGTCTTATTGATTACATAATTTTCAGAATTATGATTGATATATATCTAATATTCTGATATTTCAAGAACAAATACAGCATGATTTTTGTTTAAAAGGTCATTATTTTCTGCTCCAACTAAGACTAACTTTCTATTTAAAATGTTTGCCATTTCTATATGTTTTTTGTTTTGTAACAATAGGTGCATATCTTATTTATCGATAACAATGGTGCTCAAACTTTGATAATTGCATGGTTTTGACTTGATATAACAATACCTCCCTTTTTTATTAAGATTAAGCACTTGATCAGTCCACGGATTTGATTTTTATTTTGTTAGTTCTTAGTTATTTCGATTTGAGGTATTAAGTATTCAAATAAATTGCTACTTAATTTCGATTTTAATGAGCATGTGATCCAAATGGAGTTTAAAAAGTTAAAAAGGAATTATTACAATCCATTACAGAAACTTCACATACAGTACTTATCAAAATATCTACCACTATCAGGTTAGATAATTGTACCTATTTAAATTTCTATATATACTTAACCCGATTATTAAGCTTGCATCCTCTCAATTTTTATTACTAATATTTTGTTCCGCCAATTTATTTTTCTTGAGAGACATCTAACTCTTTTTTTGTGTGTGCTAATGAGATACATCTAACTCTAAAATAGGAAAAGCAAGAGCAAGGAGTAGAGATGTATACATTCATATTGGAATTGTTTATGCTTTATAGTTCGTCTTTCAATCAATTATTTTCGCGTTACGTAGCAGATTTTTAATTTTCTATTAATGGTCATATTCACTGTAACAGTTTACTTCTTTTATCACATATACATTCATATTTGTCGTCATTGCTTTGGTTCCTACTATCCTTTTATACATATTGACACAAATAAAAGGGTCTGTTCTTTAGAAATGAAGTAAAATATTCCGGAATAAAAACTTAAAGCGCTGGAGTTTGTGATTGCATTACATTTGCAAAATAAGTGGTTGAAAAGAAAAAAACAACGTGCATTTGTTTTGTGTTATTTCCCCTATTCTTCGTCTAAATGCACGAACCCATGTCTTTGACTTTCAACTCTCTTGTCCTCTCTTCTCGCATAAGTCATATATACGGTCTATTATTAAATTCTATTTTGTAGACGTTATATACTGTCGACATCTATAAACCATATTAATTTTGTTTATTATTAAGTGATGTAACAGTATTTTTGGGGGAAAAAAAGAGAAAAAGATGAATAAAATAAGGTTAGAAAAAGTATTTTTGGCAAACTCTAGTTCAAAAAAGTATTTTTTTGGTACATTAGATACTTGTTAATATGGGTATACTTATTTAGATATGAAATAACAATAATTTAAAATTTTAAAGAGAGGAATATGATATGTCATTAAAATTTAAGTATCATGTTAAATATAAAGAATGATTATAATAGTGGTTAAATTATGATGGTGCACTACAACTTCTAGCAGCATGATACTGTGTCTGTATAGTGTGCGTTGTAGTCCATTTATGTAGAGTCTATGTTTTTGACTCTATAGATTTCATTTCCATTTTGCAAGGACGTGTTGAGGTGTGCTTCGACATAAATGTAGTCATAAATATCATTTCCAACAAAGGTGGTTTAGACATTCT